TGATTTTTTGATTTATTGTAGAGATGAGGTCTCGCCAAGTTGCCCAAGCGGGTCTCGAACCTGCGCGTTCAGGCAATCCACTCACATCAGCCTCCCAAAGGCGTGGGATTACAAGCTGAGCCACCGAGCCCGGCTATGACGGCCATTCTTACAGGGATTGGGTGGCATCTCAATGTGGTTTTGATTTGCATTTCTCTAATGATGAGTGAGGCTGAGCACTTTTTCATGTGTCTGTTGGTCACCCGTATGTCTTCTTTTGAGAAGTGTCTATACATGTCTTTTGCCCACTTTTTAAAGGAGCTGTTTATTTTTTTCCTTTTGGTGCATTTGAGTTCCTTGTAGATCCTAGATGTTAGGCCTTTATCAGATATACAGTTGGCAAATATTTTTTCCCATTCTGTTGGGCTGTCCCCCTGCCCAACAATTCCCCTATTGGGAATATACCCAGAGGAATTCAAATCATTCTACAAAGGATACCTGCACACGTATGTTTGTTGCAGCTCTATTCACAATAGTAAAAACATGGAACCAACCATGTTGCCCATCAAAGCTGGACTGGATTAAAAAAATGTGGTACATATACACAATGGCATATTATGCAGCCACAAAGAAGGACAAATATATGGACTTTGCAGCAAATTGGATGGATTTGGAGTGGATCATACTCAGTGATTTATCACAGAGACAAATAACTGAGCTTCATATGTTCTCACTCATAAGGTGACCTTGAACAATTATTACTATTATTATTTTTTTAAGTTGGAGTCTCACTCTGTCACCCAGACTGGAGTGCAGTGGCCGCTCCCGGCCACTGCAGCCTCGACCTGCTGGGCTCTGGCGATCCTTCCGCCTCAGCCTTCCAAGTAGCTGGAACTACAGGAGCGCACTACCACACCCGGCTAATTTTTTTGATATATTGTAGAGATGAGGTCTCGCCAAGTTGCCCAGGTGGGTCTCAAACCTGCGGGCTCAGGCAATCCACTCACCTCAGCCTCCCAAGGCGCGGGATTACAGGCTGAGCCACCCAGCCCGGCTGACCTTGAACAATTATAATGCTGTGGGAAGGCGATTGGCAGTAGCAGAAAACTGTCAGGGGAAGGGGAGGGGGGTGGGACTGGCAGTTGGAGGAAGCTGCTGAGGAGGGAGGGGCATGCCTCATCAACAAGGGTACCTGCGTGATCAATGTTCGTATACCTAGCCCTGAATTGTACCCTACATCTTTATAATAAATAAATTAATTAAAAATTTTTAAAAAATGGAAATGTATTTCTTATTGCTCTACTTTTTTCTTTAGGAAAAGAAGAAGAAAGATAATGCAATTGTAGCCTTTGTTTATACTAGGAGGTTTATTTTATATTTAACTGATTAGAATATCATGAAATATTATCCCCTTCCCCTTTATATAGTCATTCAAAATTATTCTTAATATAAATAAAATTTACCTCATACTTGTTTAACCCTTTTATTAACTTTTTTTCTTTGAAAACGTATTCCACCTCCTCTTCTTTTAATTTTATTTCAAGTTGTTCAATCTGTGCCAAAAATTCATTGATCTCCTTTTCTCTAAGACTGGTCTAATTAGAAAAAGTAAAGATTTGTCATTTGTCTTATAGTAATCACTCTTACATTTTCACATTGCTGAAAATTAATATCTTTTTATATGAGACTTGCTTCAGGTTTCAGGTTACATAAATTTCCAGTAACAACTCAGAGAAATTTTGTTCCCTTCAGAAATTTAGTTCTTCATCAAACAGTATTTATAAATGACACAAGGAATGGGAGGTGTGGGATGGTGGGAGGGCAAGGGGTAAACGTAGGAGCCAAATAAATGATACTTGGGTCCATATTTTTAGAGATAGTTTCCCTAAAGATAAACCACAAATAAATTTCTGGTTACAAGTTTAAAAAGCGTATTCTGGAGATAATTGCTACTTTATTTGCTAAATCTCTCTAGTTATTATACAGTAAATAGATACATTGCTTAAAACAGTAAACATGAAATCAGCAGAGGAATATACCTTTTAATAAGATAGGATTTAATTAAATATTGAAGGAGAATTACTGTTATTCCATGTACGGGACTAATTCTATGTTCCCTGGGTTCCCTTACCTCTCTAAGTAATTCAAGTCGTCTAGTTTCTGCCTGTTCAACTTTTTCTACAATTTCTTGTGTTTCAGCCTTTATCTTGGATGTCCAACGTGCATGCTTTTTTCTCAAACAAGCTATTTTCCACTGAGTTATAATACTAGAGATTAGTACCAAAAGAATTACCATTAGATTGACATAGAGTTTACTAAAAAGATGAAGCAATTCAAAACAAAACAAGTTCTACTATGATTATACAAATATATTTGTGCTACCTGTGACGCAGACTATGCACATTAACTGAAAAAACAGACATTAACTGCCTCAATACTGTCTCTGCAAGTTGCTTCAGAGTAAGAATGTCTGTATGCCTGTACACCCAGTATAACAGTGAACAAACCACACTTGGCAGCTTGCCTCCTTTAGGTAAAGGATAGAAACTGGGAAGGCTCTGGGACAGGTGGAAAAAGAAGAGGCCCAGGCAGAAAGTCATGAAATTATGTGAATTACTTAATGTGTTCATAAGAGATTATAAGCTTCTGAGTTGTCAATTTTTTTTCTTTACCACAACATAAAAACCTACATATTTGGAGAATAATCAAAATGTACAATTGAAGTCTTGTAAATAATAATACCAGCAACAATAATAAAATACAGCTAAGTATTAGCAAGTGCTTTTTAGGTGCACTGATCTAAATACAGTATTTTACATGAGTCATCTTATTTGAATTAACAACCACTTCGTAAGGTGAGTACTACTATCATTCTCCACTTTATAGAAATGGGAACCAAGAGAAGTTATTAAATTACTAAGCATCAGTCACAGAACTAGTAAAGGCAGAACAACCACAGTAGCCCATTTGCAGAGCCTGGTGCCTTCGCCACACACATCATCTTCCTTCCTGGTTTAAGCAGAAGACTGGATGAACAAAAGGCACTGCACAAATCTTGGCAATTTTATTCTTTGGTGACTCCACTTGATTGAAATGGAAAGCTTGGGTTTTGTTCAATGCCAAAAAATCAAACCAACAAACACATCTGGATCTGAGAGAATTCACATGTAATTTAAGAAAATCATTCCCTTGGGCTCTAACAACCAATAAGTACTGTGTACTGTTCATGAAGAGAACATAGACTACTGAAAACACAAACTTTTTTTTTTACCATCTCTGATTTTCTCTTTCCAGGTTATCACCCAGGATTTTTATTTGCCTCCGATATACTTCTTGTGTTGCTCTAGAAACAAGAAAAATATATTGGATTTTGTGTTTGTGGGAGCTATTAGAATATACAAGAGACTTTTTATGTATAATTCTTATGCTCAATAAGACTATAGTTTAATTGGAAGACAAAATAAGCCTTGTGAAGCTTATTTAGTGGCAGACTAAAAGAAAAACAGACGATTGCAATTCTGTGTCAGTGCAAATTGATTTTGGAAGCACTGTGGTGGACTTCTAAGGATAGAGAAGAAAAGACTCTGGGGAGGCAGTTGAGAAAAGGCTATTGAAAGTTAACATTTAACAGGAGGAGGAATGTGGATTGTCAGAATGGAGTTGCACTATTACTAAGGAAAGGGCTTCATCATTTGCAAAGACACAGAGGGAAGAAGCAGCAAGTCAGTTATGTTATGACATAAGGTAGGCTTGCTGTACGCAGAGGACATCAAGGTACGATTAGCATTATGACACAAGAGGACTTAAGGTCAACAAATTGTTGAGGAACTCTGGATCTAGGCTGAGCTCTGACTTGATAAAATATATAATTTAAAAAGCCAATTCTTGAACTAGGGAAAAATAGTAACTAAGGATGGAAGGCCTTCCTGTAGTGGATGGCTGGAAATGGAACGATTTTAACACAGATAACAAAGGCCTTCATTTGTATTCCTCCTTTTCCCTTATTAAGTGCTTCATGCACAGAGATGAATTGAAAGTCATATAAGTAAAAATGTTTCTGTATGCCTTTTGAAAGATAGAAATATTTATAAATGAAATTTACAGCCAGGCTCGGTGGCTCAGCCTGTAATCCCGCGCCTTGGGAGGCTGAGGTGAGTGGATTGCCTGAGCCCGCGGGTTCGAGACCCGTCTGGGCAACTTGGTGAGACTTCATCTCTACAATAAATCAAAAAATTAGCCGGGTGTGATAGCGTGCGCCTGTAGTTCCAGCTACTTGGAAGGCTGAGGCGGAAGGAATGCTGGAATCTAGCAGGTCAAGGCTGCGGTGGCCGGGAGCGGCCACTGCACTCCAGTCTGGGCAACAGAGTGAGACTCCAACTCAAAAAAAAAAAAAAAAAAAATGAAATTTACCATATGAGATGCTATTAAATAAATTTTTGAAGGCTAGAAATATGCATAAATAAAATTAAGAGTACAAAACATAGTTAAATACACTAGGAACATAACTGTGCTTGTATTTCTTTATTTGAAATTAAAGTATGGGCTCTCAATTTCCTACCAAAATGAAGCTCGTGTCCTCCCCTGGATCTCTAAGATTCTTCATAATTTGACCTAAACTTACTGATTTTGGTTATTTATGCATTTAAAATAATCCATTTGTACCAGTTTAAAAATAAAGCAACCCTAATATAAAAAATTCTAAACGGATAGCAATATTGGGCCACAAATTTGGCTTTGAAGATTCCCAGTGACCAGAGCAATGGTGATACAATAATTGATTATAAAACTTGCATTATTCATGAGAAAAATAAAACCTGATAATAACCCCATTTCATTTTCCTGCTCTTTCATAAGAAGTAGTTTATAGTTTCTTTCCAAAGCTGGCATAATGAGAAATAGTTGCTTAAATATATTACTTAACATGGGACAATCATCCAAAGAACCTATACTTCCTGTTATGTTTCAGATTTCTCTTGGTGTGTGCTCAAATTTTTATCATCATCTATCTTGTACAAACTTGCCTCTTCAGTGTCCTATATTTAAATCATATATTGCCCTGTGATATTCCTCCATTTGATAAACAATCAGAAAAATCTGGCTTGCTTTTGAAGGTCTAGTTCAAGTTTGAAAGACAAAGCAGGACTCCTTGAGTTTATTTTCTTTCAACCTTTTCTGACTGTTTTTATAATTCAAACTCTATTTTATTTCCACCAAAATATATAGTTCACTAATTATTTCACATGTGTTAGTCTTGGTCATCTGCCCAACTAAACTACAAGTTACTTTATGCTTGGTATCAGTGGGAGAGTGTAATGGTAGAATATTTATGTAGGACATTTTGATAATAATTATATAAGTGAAAAATATGCATCCTTCTTTGATCCAGAAAATCAACTTTTAGGACTTCATTACAAAGAAATAGTCACATAAGTAGACAGAGATATGTTAAGATGTTAGCTCTAATATAAGAAACAGAAAATAAAACCAATGTCTATCAACAAAGTGCTAGTCAAAGAAAATACAGTATCATTTGTAAAATAAATACTATGCAGTTAGAGAAAAGAATGAGGAAAGATGTTCCATATATACTTTTTTTTCTCTTTATTTTGAAATAGTCTCAAACTCAGCAGGTAAGTGTAAAAAACAGTACACAGAATTCCCATATATCCTTTACCAGCTTCTCCAAATGTTATCATTTAACCTTATTTGATTTATCATATTTTTAAGTGAAAAACATCCAGTTATAGAAGAGTACAAGCCAATTTTTTGATTCACACACACATTTTAAAGCATATATAGTAAACTGTTAACAGTGATTATCTTTGTGGCAAGAGGGAGAGATTAGGGTAACTTTTACCCTTTCAGTTACATCTTTCTATATTTGAATAAAAAAATCAGGTACAGGTATTACTATTTTTTTGAGGTGGAGTCTCACTTCATCACACAGGCTGGAGTGCAGTGGTACACTGACAGCCACCCCAGTGTCAACCTGCTGGGCTCAAGTGATCCGTCTGCCTCAACCTTCCAAGTAGCCGGAACTACAGGTGTGCGCTACCATGCACGGCTAATTGTTTTGATGTATTGTAGAGACGAGGTCTCATCAAGTTGCCCAGGTTGTTCTCAAACCCCTGAGCTCTGGCAATCCCCTCACCTTGGCCTCCCAAAGTGCTGAGATTACAGGCTTGAGCCACCATACCTGGTCATTATTTTTTTAATAATAATAAAAAAGAAAATTAAAGTGACTTGGATTGGCAGAAATGAACATCATAGTGGGTCAGTGTTGTGATAATATTCAGGCACATTCTTGTCACTGGACACCAACTACGTCATTCCTGGGGTTCACGGGCTTCCACAGAATTCAGAACCCATCTACCCTTTCAAGGAAAGATTCAGTGACAATGACTTTTCTGGACTGTAAAACAGAGAGAGCTAACTATAAACTTCCTTTTCTGTAATATATTAGAAATTGACATAGGCTTGTTGCTACTATTTATTAAAAAATAAATGCAGAGAAAAGATTACAAATTTCAAACATACTGTTGAAGCTCCTGGAGGGTGGCAAGTCCTTCTTCCATATTTTTTATGTCTACTTTCCTTTGTGATAGAAAGTTTTGTCTCTGAGAAATAAATGTCAGTTGTTTCTGATTTCTGTTTGGAAAAAAAAAACAGAGTTATCATTTGTTGAAAACTGGCATAATCATTTTTAATTCCTTAGCATGAGAAAATACAGAGACACAAATAAGAATTCTAGAATTATTTTTAAAATGTTATCTATTTTTATTTTAAATATCCCATTAAAATGTAGTACATGTAACTAAAAGTAATGCATTTGAGAATCATAGATAAGAATTTCAAAACTAGTTTAGAACGATCAGATCATGAACTATTTACCAAAATAATTAGTAAAAATAGAAACAAAGTATTTTTACTAGTGGTAGCTAAATCTAAATTTATGCATAGGATTTTCATAAAATTTGTGATAATTCCCAAGCCAATGAAATAACATTAACCAGCCAGGCTCGGTGGCTCAGCCTGTAATCCCGTGCCTTTGGGAGGCTGAGGTGAGTGGATTGCCTGAGCCCGTGGGTTCGAGACCTGCCTGGGCAGCGAGACCTCATCTCTACAATAAATCAAAAAATCAGCCGGGCATGGTAGTGCATGCCTGTAATTCCGGCTACTCGGAAGGCTGAGGCGGAAGGATAGCCAGAGCCCAGCAGGTTGAGGCTGCGGTGGCCGGGAGCAGCCACTGCACTCCAGTCTGGGTGACAGAGTGAGACTCCAACTCAAAAAAAAAAAAAAAGAAGAAGAAGAAGAAATAACATTAACCACAATAGTAACCATAAAACAAGAACAGTTCTATAATACTCCCTCTCTCTAAGTGGGTGTGTCTCTTCTAATGCATTTATCAATCCTGTCATATTCTTCTGTGAACAGTGAAGGAATCTGTGTGACCAACTTTGCATTCTAGCTCTACTGCTTAATAACAGTGTGATCTTGGATAAGAAACTTCATCTGTGGATAAGCCTCAGTTTCACCATCTATAAAATGGAGATTACAATATCTAGCTCACTGGATGGAAGGAGTTAATAAGATGCAAAGTGCTCCATCCAATGTGTGGATTATAAGCTTTTTTTTTTTTTTTAAGTAGTTACTTTTTGTCTCAACCTGCAGAAAAAAGGAGGCTCAGAGAAGTTTATCATCTTGTTCAAGTGCCCAGACATTGATAGAAATCTGCCTGTAACAGGAAGTATTTTAGTAAGTAACTCATATTCTTCAAAACTGCCATAGACTGATTTGTGTCTTCCTACCTCCTCCAGAATTTATATGTTTAAACTCTAACCTCCAACATGAAGAAATTCAGGTAATTGTTCCTCTCCAAGTTATATATTTCTATATTTGAATTTTAAAATAAGGTACAAGCATTTTTTTAATCAGAAAAAATTAAAACAGTGATTCACAATGGCAGAAATGAACATCATAGGAGTCAGTATTGCGATACTATTAGAACACATTATAAAGACAGGACTTTTGAGAAATAATTAGGAGGTCATGAGGGTGGGACCTTCATGATAGAATTAGTGCCCTTATTAAAAAAAAAAAAAAAAAGACACTAGACAGCTTGCTTCCCCCGCCCCGCGCCATGTGAAAACACAGAGAGAAAGTGGCCATCTGCAAGCCAGGAAGAGAGGTCTTACTAGAACCCAACCACTGTGGTTTCAGACTTCCAGACTCCAAAACTGTGAGAAAATACACACCTGTTGTTAAAGTGTATGGTAGGCAGCCCAAGCCAACTAAGACAAAACCCAGGAAAGATAGCAAACATTTTCATTGTTTTCCATCGGCTTTAAAACTAGGATAAGCTGAAATGGAGAGTCCCTACTTTGATATTTGATAGCAAGAAAACTGCCTGATAACTATGGCATGTTGAGTCACAATAGATCATGAGTTAAAACATACTCATCATAAATCTGCCTTTTCTGGAAAAAAACTTTATCTTCTTCATTTGAAACAATCTTATATTGTCTGGTAATAATCACTATTTTCTCTCGTAGATCTTTGTTTTCTTTACTAGCTGCATGAAGTTTTTCAGCCAACTAGAGAAAAACAAAGGATTAGAATGAGAAGATTTGCTTCATAGTTCCTTTGACGGGGTTAGTATCAACAGGTAACTCTCTAGAGATATTGCTTGGCACACAAGGAATATGCCATGAATGTTAAGTGGTCTAATGCCGTACAAATATGCAACTGTATATTTTGAGGCATCTTCTATAAATTATTTTGAAAGTGAGGAAAGATAGTAAACACTAATGTAAAACCATAGAGCAGTAATACACATTTAAATACAGAATGGGGTCAGTAAACTGATCATCAGCAACATTTGTGTTTCCTTTTCCTAGAATATAAGCTGAACTAGGGAAAAGAAAATGTAAAATCCTCAGAAGCTCTTGCTCAAAACTTCTTAGACTGGATATTATGCTTGTTTCTTGTTAAATATTTCTATTTGAGGACAAAAAAATAGTACCCATTAGTGTTCTGCACGAGGTAAAAATTTTGTGCTTTCTGAGTTGCTTCAAACGAGGTAAGAAAGTTAGGTTTAGCAGGAATGGTGGGCTGGGTAGTTCAAAATAACCTTCTGTCTGAGGACAACTAAAATAGTTGGATGAAAAAAATATTTTTAGAAATATTGAAGAACCACAAGATAATAAGGAATTACTAGGTCTGATTCTAAAAGAAAGCAAGAATCCAGAGTGGTAAGGCCAGCACTTAAAACTCCTCACACCTTGAGGGCATTTAATAGGGAAGAAACCACTTGAAAGCAGAGCTTTGGTTTTCTTGCATGACATGTGGGACAGAAGCCAGCAGGTAGAGCTCATCCAGGTGTCGGACCTAGATAATCCTTCCACTACTGTAGTCCAGGATTTGCAAAAGCTTCACCCACTGGATAAGGGTGAACTGAAAGCTAACAAGTCATCGTCCAGCCTGACTTTGATCACCAGGGAAATTAAAATGGATTAAGGTGGTTTGAGACTGGTTACCCTCCATACATCTGACATATAGCTGCAGATCTGCTCCTGGGGAATATACCATCGTCTTAAGCCTCAAATAGTTCTTACAAACATTTTTTCCAAGTACAATGTTCAGCATATGATTTTCTACCAGAAATTTGAAGAAGACAGAATGAACAAACATTGGCAGAAACAACAGACTACAGAAACAGACTATAGACTTATAAAGACATAAGATACTGAAATTATCAGACACTATGAAACTACTATGCTTATAATAATCAAGCAATTATTAGACATCCTTGAAAATGATGGCAAGGAATTAGAAATGGTAACAAGTGACATAGCAAATTTTAAAAAGTATCAAACATTCACCAATTTAAAATTATAATAACCAAAATTAAGAATGCAAATAAGCAGGTCAACACTGGGGGTGGCCATGAGTGTGCCACTGCACTCCAGCCTGGGCGACAGAGTGAGATTGACTCAAAAAAACAAAACAAACAAACAACTCCCCCCCCGCACACAAATTAGACCATTCTCTAGAATCCAGCATGGAGAGACAAAAAGTAGAAAATACAGAAGAGAGGATAATATACATGGAGGGCACATACATTAGTATAAATAATTGCATACATATAATTGGAGTCTCAGAAAGAGAAGAGAAAATAGAACAACAACAACAACAACAAAAACCCAAAAAACATGTGAACAGATAATGACTGAAAAGTATAGAAATTTTCAGGTTTAAGAAGTAAATCCCAAAGAGTTTAAATAAAAAGAAAATCTTGGACACGTCACAGTAAAATTGAACAACTAAGACAAAGGAACAACAACAAAAAATGAAAATAAGTGAGAAAGAGGCCATGTTTATGGATTCGAAGCCTCAATATTGTGAAGTGTGAAAACCTCTTCAAACTGATATTTTGTATTTAATTCAATTCTAGTCAAAATCCAAGCAGGAATTTTGGCAGAACTTGACAAACTGGTAGAAATTCAAAGGGTTGGCTGGGTATAGTGGTTCACTCATAATCCTAGCACTTTGGGAGACTGAGGTGAGAGGACTGCTTGAGGTCAAGATCTCAAGACCAACCTGGGTAACATGCAAGACTACAAAAATGTTAAAAACATTAGCTAGGCATGGTGGTGCATGCCTGTAGTCCCAGTTACTTGAGAGGCTAAGGCAAAAGGATCCTTTGGTGCCAGGAGGTTGCAGCTGCAGTGAATTATTATCACACCACTGCACTCCAGCCTGGATGACAGAGTGAGAGCCTGTCAAAAAGAAGGGAGGAAGGGAGAAAGGGAGAGAGGGAGGGAGGGAGGGAGGGAGGGAAGGAGGGAGGAAGGAAAGAAGGAAGGAATGAATTCAAAGGGTCAAAAATGGCTGAAACAATCTTGAAGAACAAAGTTGAAGGATTTATACCCTTAACTATAAAAACTTATTTTAAAGGTACTAATTAAGACAATATTGTGCTAGTGTTAGGAGAAATAAATAGTCCAAATGAACAGAATAAATTGTCCACAATCCATATGTACATTTCTGATCCACACTTGGTTTATAACAATAGTGAGACAGCAGTGTAGTGGAGAAAAGGATTATCTTTTCACTAAATGGTACTGAGTAAAGGAACAACCTTATGGAAAAATGGGAATCTTGATCACTGTCTCACAGCTTACACACACATTCTAGATGGCTTGTAGTGTTAAATGTGAAAGGTCAAACAAAAAAGCTTCTAGAAGATAATGGAAGAGAATATCTCATGACATAGAATATAAAAAGCATTAACTAAAAAGGGATAGACTGATAAACTGAATTTAATTAAAATTAATAAACTACCTTCATCAAAAGGATAGATTAATACACAAATACTTATATTTAGAGTTTATATATTGTTCTGTAATATGTAATATTTCATAATAAAAAAGTTAGATCCAGCAATCCCACTACTGGGTATATATCCAAAGGAAATGAAATCAGTATATTGAAGAGATAACTGCACTTTTATGTTTATTGCAGCACTACTCACAATAACTAAGATATGGCATCAGCCTAAATGTCCATTAGTAGACGAGTAGATGAAGAAAATGTGGTGTATATATACACAATGGAATATTATTCAACTTTTAAAAAGAAGAAAATTGTCATTTGTGACAACATGGATGAACCTGGAGCACATTATGTTAAGTCAGGCACAGAAAGACAAATGCTTTACTTATATGTGAATTTCACTTATATATGTAATCTTAAAAATTGAACTCATAGAAGTAGAGAGTAGAATAATGGTTACCAGGAGCTAGCAGGGGAGAAGAAGTGGTGGACTAGGGAGATGTTGGGGGAACAAAAGTTAAAATAAAGTTAGAATAGAGGTTAATGTCATCTTTGAACTTTCTTCCAATAACTTATGAGATTTATGATTAGATGTCACTAAGAGTCCATAATTTCTACCGTAATGAAAATAACAAACGGGTCAGAGCTCTCCTTCCTTTGAAGTGATCACTAACTTGTATCCATGGAATTTGTTTGAGGGCTTTGGATTGAAGGGAAACCCCTCTATATCTCTGCTCAAAAGAGAAGAAAGCCTCTCTCTTTGACCAAGAAAGGCATGCTGCCGGGCTCGGTGGCTCAGCCTGTAATCCCACGCCTTGGGAGGTTGAGGTGAGCGGATTGCTTGAGCCCGTGGGTTCGAGACCCGCCTGGGCAACTTGGTGAGACCTCATCTCTACAATAAATCAAAAAATTAGCCGGGTGTGGTAGTGCACGCCTGTAATTCCAGCTACTTGGAAGGCTGAGGTGGAAGGATCGCCGGAGCCCAGCAGGTCGAGGCTGCGGTGGCCGGGAGCGGCCACTGCACTCCAGTCTGGGCAACAGAATGAGACACCAACTCAAAAAAAAAAAAAGGCATGCTAGTTTAGGGGTCCTAGATTATTCAGAAAATCATGTGAGCTACAACGTATGGAGCTATTAACTGAAAGTTATCTAATGACTCCTACAGTAGGAAATAAATTGAAAGAACAATTTTGCTTAGAAAATGAAAGACAAATTTTTTAATTTTTTTTTTTTGAGTTGGAGTCTCACTCTGTCGCCCAGACTGGAGTGCA